GCAGAAAATGCCATGCGCTTGATCCCTTGTTTAAATCTTTTTCCCCTCAGTCTTGCGCAATACCAGTCCAATAGAAGCCTCCAATCGCAAGACTTCCAAGAGAATTGAAGCCAGTTCATGATATAATTCCACACTTCACTTGAATAACTGTAATCAAAGAACAGGTGGTTTCGACTTTCCAAGCTATCTCTGTAGGCATCAAAAATTATCTATAGGTTCCAGTACGTTGTTCGAGATGGAAAGAAGATGATGAACGTCATTATTATAGTCAAGGAGGATTATCTAATGCCAACAAGCGCATGAAGCGAATCAGAGAACCGTTGATGACGTAGAAACAAGCCACCGGAATGGCAAACCAAGTTGCCCGCATGCTTATCAGCCACCTCCAAGTGGCCCGCGTGCTCACTGGCCCGTGCTCACCGGCCAGCGCCAAGTGGCCCGCGCGCTCATCAGCCACCGCCAAGTGGCCCATGTGCTCATCAGCCACATCCAAGTTAATGAAGCAAATCGGTGAAGCACACAAGTCAGCAAAATAATGAAACGTGTGTAACGATGAAATAAGTCAAACCCCAAAAATCGGAACAGACCCTAGCAGTCGAGTCGCACCAAAATGACTCGGCCAAAGGCAGTGCTCGGCCAATGGCCGAGCCACCTTCTAGTGGCTCCCCCCATGCCGAGCCACCAAATGGTCACCATGCTGAGCCACCAAATGGTGGCTCGCACAGTTTTGAGCCGAAAACACGTTTTTGATGGGATTTCTCAGAATTTGGTCGTTTCTGAGCCTCCCAACTGTTTTAATACTATCCCTGAATGTAGTTAAGCGGTTGTTAACTGCAGATAACGTCAAATTATCAGTTCTCATTTGAAAATGCTACAACTAAAGCCTATAAATACAAGCCTAGGGCCTTCATTTGTACAGATCTGAAATTAGAGATGAGGTGCTGTCAACTTGAAGAGTGGAGCACGAATTTCAAAGGAAGGCTAGCAGATCTTAGCGAACTTTAGCATAAAGAGGAAGCTATTCGAAGGATCTGAGGCCCGTTCCCCCTTTCCTCCGGATCAAACTTAGTTTTTATCTCGAGAAGAGTCGTAATCTTGCTTGGTCGAGATTACCACTTTTGCGGTTGTTTCCTTTATGTAGCAAGAGCATTAATCAACTTTTATATCAACCGAATCTGATCCGCGGCGGTCCACAGACTAATGCGTCCCTGGCATAGGTAAAGATCTCACGTAAGCAGCGGGTGATAAACGTCCTATGCGTGTGTTTTAAGGAGATTATATTTGTTTATCTTTTCATTGTGTAAGAAGATCTTATAAAAAGATCAACTTTTCTCTTTTTTTGAATTTGTAATCGATAAACGATTGTAACAGATTCAATAATAATGAATAAACCAATTTTCGACGCAACCATGCTGGCAACCACAGTGGGAGCCAACAGTCTCTCTATCGAGACTGTCGTGTCGCAACCGAAGATCAACATCCTGGTTGAAGAAGAGACGAGTACGAGTTCGATCAGGCCAAGTTCGAGGAATACCTCTCCTCATCCTCATCAAGATCTTCCTCGTCCCGCAAGTACAGAAAGATATCGGCATCAAAGAAGGCTCGGGATGACTCTCGCCTAATTGTTGCTGAGGCTTCCCCTTGCAACGTTCCTTCGGCATTCAATGAAGCCTAGATTTTAGATCACAATGACTCATACTCAGTCCAGGAGCTGTTTAACGAAGGCACCCTAATTCTGATAAAGAGGGATGGTCAGAGGCAATGCCAACGCCTCGCACGTCAGCTTGCCAAGACCTTAGAGCCAGTTGACGGGATCCGTTATCATGCGGATCTGAAGTTCAGGTAGCGCCAAGCACCTCAACAGCAAGCAAATAGCCCCTTCTCCAAACCATCAGCTAATGAATGGGTCCATGTCAAAAGGACCCGTTCAACTCTCGAGGAGCGCATCTAAAAGATCCGTGCATGTGCCGCACGCGCGCATGCCTTAGCACGAAAGACGCAAGACACGAAGGAAGACAAGTTAGCCAAGAAACCACCAAAACCAAGCCAAGAATGGAGGCCGAAATCCAAAACAGCGACTCGGACAAGTGCCAAGACACCCGCAAATTTCGAGTCAG